CGTTCTCGGCTCTCTCTTGCGCCGAACACAGAGTCCCCGTTGCTGGGGACGGGAAGCTCGACGGGGCGGAAAACGCAGCCGACGTCCCCATTCGAAGCCAGATCGGCCGCGTCCCTCGGGTCAGAACTCGTGTGCGGCGACGCCCGCGAGAGGATGCAGGAACCTGCTCCGCGCTGCGTTCTGGGGGGTCGGGCAGAGACAGACACAGAGACAGAGACACCATCTCTGAGAGACGCCATCCCCCGGCTTCCGGGCCACCCACCTCTCTCCGCATTCTGCCGTCTGGGTTTTTTTTTTTTGTTTTGCGTCGCGGTTTTGTGCTTGCTGGATTTTTTTGCACGCGGTGCCTGGGGCTGGCCGCTGGCAGACGCGGGCTGCGGGCCTCAGTTTCCCCCTTGTGCAGATGCAGACCTCCATTCCCAGCTCGGCCGAGGGCCGCGGGACCGGGGTGAGCAGGTGGCGATCTGTGAGCAGAGCCGCCCGGCCGGCCCGCGGGGATGGTGGCAGGGCGGGGACGGGGCTGGTGGCTCCCCTCGTCCCCGACGCCCGCGTCCTCCCTCCTCGAGACCTGTCTTTGGTTGTGGGGAGGGCCGAGGGCCTGTCCCCCTGGCTTTGGCCCCGATCACACGGCTGGAACTGACTCTGGGTTCCGCTCTGGCTCTCGGCTGCCTCAGTTTCCCCACTTACGACAAGCGCACTAGGTTAGCGGGCCCTGGAGGCCTTTCCGTCCCTGACCGCCGGGGACCCGGCTCGGCCCGGCTCCTCCGAGGGCCCCTCGCTCGTTTCTTCATCTTTGAACCCGGTTCTAACCCCCCCTCACTCCCTTCCGAGACCCGTCGATGGGCGCCGTGTGGGTGTCGGGACCCGCCGACGGGCAGAGAGCGGACGCAGGGCCCCGGCGGGTCCTCCGCAGACAGACGGGCGGCCACGAGCTCCCGCGAAGCGTCGTTTAGCTGGAGACAGCCCGCAGCTGCGCGTCCTCACGCCGCCGCAGCGCCGGGGCGCGGGCTTGGGGACGCGGCCGACCCTCCTCCCGGGCGGGGGCCTGGGGACTCGGTCTGCGTGTGTCTTTGGTCTCGAATTTGGTCTTGGGATCTGAGGGGACGCCGTTTCCAGGACGTGTGACCTTCCCGCCACCCCGAGTTCCGCGAGCGGGGGGTGCGAACACCCCCGTCGCCGCTGCCGGCCAGAGCCCGTCCTCCCCGTCACCTGTCCCCGAACGGCGGTCAGTTCACAAAAGTCACGTAAGACAGAGAGAAACAGGTCACGATGCTACTTGGGAAAATGAGGCAAAAAGACCAAAAAAACAGTAAAGTCAAATCAGACACGGCAGCGACCACAAACGCGCGGGAAAGCGGGAACACGCCGGAATCCTCGACGGCCCGGGCGGCGTCTGGCAGAGTCGACAGCTTCGGAATCGGCGAGCGCAGACGGGGTTCAAAACCGCACCCCCAGATCCGGGGACGGGGAGAGCCCCTGACCCCCAGCCGGACTCCGCCCTCCGCACCCCGGGAGGCGGCCGCGGCCCCCGCGCGCGAGATGGTCTCTCGGTTCCGTTCAGACTCTGAGCTCCGAAGCGGCGGTTCGACGGCGCCGTCGAGGGGCAGGTTGGGGGGTGGCCACACGCGGGGCTTTGAAGGTGCGAGGACCCCGAGCTTCTAGAACATTCTCCCGCTCCGTCCCCATGCGGCTGTCACAGGGTTTCCAAGCGAAGAGCTTTGCTTTATCCCAGGCGGCCACCAAGGCCGGACAAATTCTAAGGGGCGTTTGGGGACGTCCCGGCCCGAAGTGAGGAGGCCACGCTTGGCGCTGCCCGCCAGGCGCTGGCCTGGCCGCGGGTGGCACCTGTCGCGAGAGCTCGTCAGGCGTCTCCCAGCCGCGGGGACGTGGGGACGCAGCGGGGGGCGGGGACACGAGGAGGGAAGAGCACCCCTCCCTCCCCCACGCCGCGCCTCGTCCCTTCGTCCCCCCGCCTCCCGCCCCTCCGCCCGCGACGCCACCCCACGCTCCCCGCCGGCAGCTTCGGAGACGCCCGGAGATGTTGCCCGGGCTCGGCCGGAGCCACCCGGACCCCGTTCAAATGCCACCTGTCCAGACCCGCCTCTCCCGGAGCCCCCGGCCCCGCCTCAGGTCCCTTCTGCCTGGATCGCGCTAGCGTGGACGTGGCTGCCCTGCCCCGCCCGCCTCTCGCCAAGGCGGAGCAGCAGGGAGCCTCGACCCCACCACCCTCTCGGGTCTCCGGCTGCTCCCTCTCAGACCGGCGGTTCTGACAGTCCTACTGACCATCTACCCTCGATCCTGCTCCTGCTTCAACACTTCCGACGGCTCCTGGAATCAGACGTCTGCAGCGGGGCTCGGCTCACTAACTTGGGGTCTCTCTTCCGGCCGGGGGACAAGCTGAACCTCACGTCTGCGGCGGCCCTAATGCCTTCCTCCTGCCCCTCCAGGTCCGCCCGCTCGGGGGCCTCTCTCTCACGCGGTTCCTTCCTCCCAGGCCGGGCTTCGGGCCGTTAATCGGGCCGCTCGGCCGTCCGGGCAAGATCCCTCTCTGCATTCGGCGGGCGGGACGTCCCCGCCAGCTACACGAGCACCGAAGAGTCACTTTCGAGCACGAAATCTATTGCTGGCGAGAGCACACGGCAGTCTCCACACGTATGTAGAGTCGTATGTTAAAAAACATACCAAGAAAAAGTTTACCAAGTTCCCACAAGATACATCTCATTCAGCGCGAAAGCTCTGCCTCTCCCCGGACGTCTGTCCGAGGGTTTTTGGTGGTTTTTTTTGTTTGTTTTTGTACAAAATATCCCCGAATCGAGACGAAACACACGCACGCACGACACACGCACACGCACACACGCACGGTGACGCGTTTCCTGTGACAGTTACAAAACAAAGAGGAAGTCCTAGTGCAAATGTAAAGCTCTGTAAACCTGGTCCTAGGAGATCTACGGTTAGTCGACGGCAGGGACGCGGCCGCCGCGCTCACATCATGCTCTCGACCACGATGTGCGTGGGCTTCACGAGCGCGCCGTTCACGGCCGCCGTGCGCGAGCTGAAGGGCGTGGCGCCCTCGCGCTCCACGGCCCAGCGGTTGGGCTCCCTCGGCGTCATCAGGTACTTGAGTCTCTGCAGGAGGAAGCGGGGGACGGGGGGAGGCAGAGTCAGGCGGCCTTGCTTGCCTCCCGCCACGGCTGCCTCCCTCCCCCAGAACCGGCCGGCGTCCTCGGCACCCCGCCACTCTCTCTGGGCCCCCCGTGTTTGTGGAAATAAAGTTGTCGCATGAAAGTCCTCTGAGATCTCACTAGGCCCCGCCTTGGGGCAGAAGTCCTGCCGGGCCAACCCCTGCTTACATACCTCCGGGGACGGGGGACTCACCACCTCTATGTGGTTGCCTCTTTCTCCTGTGGAACCGAAAAAAGCCTCCCTGTCATCCCCACCCCTGGCTTCTCTGCCTTGCGAAGCCGCTGAGCTCCTGCAGTGCGTCTGCGCCGGGCTGGACGCGGGTCTTAAGCGCAAGGGCAGGTGGGAGCCACGCAGGGAGCTAGCGTAGCGGGAGGTCCGCCTGAGCCCCCTGCAGGCACCCGGCTCTCCCCGGAGGACACTGCGCTTTCTTTCTACGAGGAAGGCCCCGGAGGCCGGGCTGCGTGAGAATCGTCAGACCCCCCTGGGCAGGTGAGTTTTGTCCTCCCAGCGGGTGGCCCGACCACGGAATCAGCCAAGGAAGGGCTCTCTCCGAGGACACCCAGGAAGGCGCTGGCAGAACTGGGACTTGGACTCAGAGCTTCTGCCTTGCAGCCCGGTTCCTGCCAAGTGTGTGCTCGGAGACTTCAAAAAAAGAGCCACTTTCTAGGCATTTACATTCAATTTAGGTATGTTACAGATTTTTTTTTCTTTTTTTTTGAGACAGAGTCTGGCTCTGTCGCCTGGGCTAGAGTGCCGTGGCATCAGCCTCGCTCACAGCGACCTCCAACTCCCGGGCTCAAGCGATCCTCCTGCCTCAGCCTCCCGAGTAGCTGGGACTACAGGCATGCGCCACCGTGCCCGGCTAATTTTTTCTAGTTTTAGTTGTTTGGCTAATTTCTTTCTATTTTTAGTAGGGACGGCATCTCGCTATGTTGCCCAGGCTGGTCTTGAACTCCTGACCTTGAGTGATCCTCCTGCTTCACCCTCCCGAGTAGCTGGGACTACAGGCATGCGCCACCATGCCCGGCTAATTTTTTTTCTATATATTTTTGGTTGTCCGATTAATTTCTTTCTATTTTTAGTAGAGATGGGGTCTCGCTCTTGCTCAGGCTGGTCTCGAACTCCTGACCTCGAGCGATCCTCCCGCCTCGGCCTCCCAGAGTGCCGGGATCACAGGCAAGATCTAGCAACACCAGGCCGGTGTCCCCTGCTGGTGACAAGTGGCCGGAGCGCCATGCATCCCCTGGGGTCTCCCGCCTGCTCCCCTTTCGTGCGTCTCTGCGGCCACGCGTGGGCTCTGCGCGCGCAAACGCCCCCGGGAGGCTCAGCCTCGGCGGGGCGGAGACCTGGGTTTGCGGGAACCCGGCTCGGAGAGAAGCTCACGGCCGGGAGGATTGGGGGGAGGCCCCCCTGAGGGCCACACGGGGAAGGACGGGCCGATGGCTTTGGCCGGGACCGGCTGCTATGCAGGCCTGGGCGCACCCTCCCCCTCTCCCTTCCTCCCCTCACCGGCCAAACCTCTGCACGTGGGCTGCACCAAAATTTTAAAATCAACCTTTGAAGCCACCCTGAGTCAGGGATCTGCTAGGTGACCCCCCAACGAGTGGGGTCACCGACCTGTCTCGACAGATCTCTGGAGACCCTGCTGAGCCCCTGTGACCCTGCCGTTTCCGGGTGGTCGGGACACTTTGGAAATTCTGGTCGGGTTGGCATTGCGGGGGGTGCAGGGGGGGTCCCCGGAGGGCTCAGGACAGTAGCTACGGCCCGTCCGTACCTGGACCCCAAATTTCACTGTTTCAACGACTGACACAGCCGTGCCTCATTCTGCCTGAATGTCGCTCGGGGTCCTGCCCTCTGTCCCCCGAAAAGAATCTAACGTGTCCCCTCTTCCAGGAAGACCCCAGGGGCCTCCCCAGCTCGGACCCCCGCTCCCCGGCTTCCTGCCCGGCCGCTTCCTCCCCCGCCCCCCGACCCCTCCGGGCCATTCTCCTGCCCGGGAGGAAGCAGGCCCCAGCCCAGGGGCGGCCGGGGCCCCAGGACATCCTGGCTCCAGAATTTTAAAAGCGAATAACAATAAAAACAGCCCAGGACAAAACAGGGCCGGCTTGGAGCCGGCCCAAGCCCAAAGGTTAAGGGACATTCTGAGAAACGAGTTTCTTGGAAAGAGCCGGGCCTCGGTCAGGGTCCGAATCCCCAGGACCGTCGGGGGGACGTCTGAGCGGAGGGCGGGGGGCGGAGGAGGCCTGCGGGGGGTCACTGGAGGCACAGAGGCCGGAACCGGGCTCTGCCTTGGGCGTGGGGGGCGTCTGAGGGCCGCGTTGCCGATGGGGCCGTTCCCCTGAATTTGGGTTCGCAATAAGCGCAGGCCTCTGGGTGGGCCCCGGCTCCCCTCCCAGGTGAACTGGTTTCCCACCACCCGCTCCGCTGCCCCTCATCTCACCCGCTCCGTTAGGCACGGAGGGGTCTAGGGCTCAGAGAGGGCAAGCAACTTGCCCGAGGTCACACAGCACACTGACAACCGGCCGGCTCTGGCCTCAAACCTCGCACCTCCCGCCCTCCCCGGGCCACGCACTCACCACGAGGAGCGGCCCCTCCGTCTGGTAGAGGCGGATGACGATGACCAAGGGGATACACAGCATGGAGGACAGGGCCAGCACCCAGCCCAGCCCGATGGCCCAGGTGGGGTACACGTAGGTCTTGTTGTAGGTCAGGGGCACGTACTTGACGAGGGAGAAGACGAAGCAGCCCTGCGGAGAGACGCGGCCGTCAGCGGTGGGGTCCCGTCCCTCTCCTCTCCCGCCTCCCCCAGCCCCTGCGAATTCCTTCCGGCTCCAGCCTCCTGCCTCAGGGCCTTAGCACAAGCCGTTCCCTCAGCCCGGCCCGTCTTCTCCCCTGTGTCACTTGGCTCCGGTGGTCCTGCCTCACCGGCCCAGGCCTCCCCCCGCCACCCAGACCCATCCTTCCAGAAAACACCTGGTCACACGTCTCCTCAGCACCCACCCGCCACCACCCCGGACTGCAGCCTCTGCTCTCCCCAGCTCCCCCGGGAGGGAGCGAGAAGGAGACTGAGGGTCCCAGTGGTAAGAGGAGCTGCCCGCGAACATCAGACAAGGATGAGGACGCGGGCGGGCCAATCGGTTCACCTCCGACAATACGGTTCCCGGCTGCCCTGCCGACTCGTCTTTGTCGGGGGCAGAACAGGGACCTCGGAGGGAAAAGCCACGAGCGCGTGAAACGACGGGACAGTCTGAGAGCCGTCGGCGGCCGCCCGAGTCCCGCTTCAGAGTCTCCTCGTTTTGCAAGCGGGGAAACTGAGGACCGGAGAGGGAGGTGGCTGGGGCAGGGGCCACGGAGCCCTCAGCCCCCGGTCGCCAAACCCGAGGGACCCTCGGGAGCGGCCTGTCCCTCCCCAGCAGAGGGACGTCGGCTCGTCAAGAGCCCACGCTTGGGTGCGGAAGGAAGGACGTTCGGGAGGACAGAGCGCCCGACTCCAGCACAGAACCGAACTCACCACGCAGAGGACGGGCGTGACCACGGCCCAGCTGCACTTCATCCAGGGCCCGGGCCGGTAGCCGATCATGTCCTCGATGCCGTCGTACAAGTTGTCGCCGCCTGCGGGAGACAGCAGTGGGCGTGCGTTGACAGCATCCGAGGCCGGCGTCGGCCTCCAAGCCGGGCCTCTGCGCCCCAGAGTCACGCAGACACCTGCCTCAAACGCAGCCGTAACCACGCAACCTGCATCTCTACGGCAGCCTTAGGCGCAGCCCGAATCCCGGCGCGGCCAATCCGAGGGCCCAGGGAGGTCAAAACGGACCATTCCCGGAGCCCAGAGTGGGTCGTCAGAGATAGAGCCCCGCACAGCGCCAAGTTCTGTGTTTGCCTAAACGCGCAGCCACACGCTGCGCCTTGGGCGTTGGCAGGATCGGTGACGCGGCTACAACGCCATCGCTGGGGCGGCCTAGGTAGGGCGTTTCTCCTTTCTGTTCGACTAGGGCTGAACTCCCGTTAGAATCTCTGCTTCTGAAGCTTGCGAGTAGGGGCCCAAAGGAGAAAGTTGGAAAAGGATATGCGGAAAAAAAAAAAATCTATACTCACCGTATATCCAAGCAATAACAAAACATTCAAAGAATGCAACCCACAGAAGGCAAACACCGCTAGCTGCATAGTAGTCAAAGAGCTGGAACACATACATGCCACCCTGTGGAGGGGAAAAAAAAAACCGCAGAGAAGACAGATTTGTTATTTGGTCTCTAATTGCCTTCATATACAAAGAGCTCTGGCATATCAATAACAACTACAAAACCCAAGAAAAAAACGGGCAGCGGTATGACGACCAAATAAATGTACAAAGAGATGTTCGACGTCACGTCTGACAAATGAAATTAAACACACACACGCACAGAGAAAAATGAAAGCAAAACACATCTTGGCAAAACGAGGGCTCCGCTAACGCCCGCTCGCAAAGGAGGTGCTTCGGACCAAACGTGGCCGACACAGAACACACTTAGCGGGGCTGGGGGATGTGGCTGGGGGATGCGGCCGCCTCCACCGCGGCCGAGAGACGCACCTACCTCCGTCACCATCGGCAACCCCAGCAGGTAGCTGATGCTGCACATGACGGCAATGAAGATTTCCCGGTGGTAACCCTTCGTCAGGAAGGACGGGTAAAGGTCCACCAAGGACGTGATCTGCCCTTCGACTTCGACAAACTGAGGAGGGGAAGAGGAGGAGAGAGCCGCTGAGCCACCAAGTACTCCGCACCTCTGCGTCTTTGCTTCGGCTGTTCCTGCCGCCAGAAAGCCTTTCCCGCATCATCCAGGACTCTGGAACGACGGCTTCTCTGAAGCGCGACCCTCCACCCTGGCGTGCTTAGTGGCCCGAGCGTGCTGCCGTGACAGCCTCCCCTTGGTCTCTGTCCTCTCCGGGGGCAAGGGTGGTGCCACGCTCGTCTCTGGGCCTCGAGTGCCGAGCCCAGCCCGACTCGCGCTGCTGTCCTGCTGGGGGTCTCGCTCTCTGGCCCGGGCTAGAGTGCCGTGGCGTCAGCCTAGCTCACAGCAACCTGCAACTCCTGGGCTCCAGCGATCCTCCTGCCTCAGCCTCCCGAGTAGCTGGGACTACAGGCATGTGCCACCGTGCCCGGCTAAGTTTTTCTATATTTTTAGTTGTCCAGCTAATTTCTTTCTATTTTCAGTAGAGATGGGGTCTCGCTATATTGCCCAGGCTGGTCTCAAACTCCTGGCCTCGAGTGATCCTCCTGCCTAAGCCTCTCAAGTAGCTGGGAATACAGGCATGCGCCACCATGCCTGGCTAATTTTTTCTATATGTTTTTAGCTGTCCAGCTAATTTCTTTCTATTTTTAGTAGAGACGGAGTCTTGCTTTTGCTCAGGCTGGTCTCAAATTCCTGACCTCAAATGATCCTCCCGCCTCAGCCTCCCAGAGTGGATTCTTCCCTTTTTTGAGACGGTGAAATTAGAGACGGGAAAGTCCACCGTTGCTGTGAATCGGGGCCAAGCCCGGCACAGACCCTAAGGTCCCCAGACTTCCCAAGAATTCCTGCCCTCCGCCAGCCGTGCGCCCCTGACTCCTGCCAGCCTCAATTTCCCCCTCTGTAAAACAAGGGGATTTTGCCCGCTCGGCAGGGATGATAAAGGTTCGAGGTTATTCGAGTGAACTGGCAAGAGGGGATCACTGTTGCCCGACCGCGGGGCCTGGGCGGGGTCGGGGGAAGTCTGGGCTCAGCAGAGCCCTCCCCGCCCGCCGCTCCCCGGGACGCAGTGACACGCGAGGGAGCCATTTTGGGGGGTCCGGGGAAAGGCCGGTGGGGGCAGACCAGCAGGTACGAGACGGTTTCTGGGGACAGGCAGCCCCAGGGCTAAGCCCCTCGCCGGCCGTGTCTGGCCTCGGCCACATTCTTGGTCTGAGTCTTCATTTTCTTGCCCGGTATCAGGGTGGTGACGGTCCCCAGGCCTGGGGACACCGGGCAGATTGGGGGGCTTGCGTGAGGAGCCAGGCGGGGCTGCGGGGGGCACTGGGGAGTCAGCGAGTGTTTGATGGGGACGGAGGTTCAGTCCGACCCCACCACAGGGCTCAAAACGTCCCCGTCTCCCAAGCACGCGAAGCAAGTAGCCGCGAAGGACGGAGCCCGGCCGGTGTCCTCGAACGCCAGGGGGACCCCTCACGCTGACCCCGGGACCCCCGTCTCCCAGGGAGAAAATCCGCTGAGCAAACACCCCCTCTGCCCTCGCGGGAAGCGGTTTCCAAAGCCGAAGCCGCCTATTTTGAGCCTGTGAAGACGTCACGGCTTGTGGTTTATCAACCTCTGATTTTTTTCCTTTCTCCTCCAGCTCGGGGAGAAGTTCCAGAAGCCACTGGCTTGGGGCCCCTGCCGGCCACACCCAGCGCGGCGATGACGCACGCAGCCCCCGGGCGTGTGGACGGAGCTCCTCTCCGTCAACAACCACGGAGGATTTTGTTTCCCGTCTCCCTGATGTTTCCATTCCGTCTTCTCGGCTAATCCTGGGCCCCTTTCTGCCAAATCCCTCGCTCTGCTCCTGACCTTGCCGGCCGGCCGGCCGCCTCCTCTCTCTGGAGTCGCTTTCCCCGGACTTCCCTCCTCCCCAGCTCAGAGTCCCCGGGGCCGGGCGGGGTGGGGACAGCTCTGGGCACCGGCTATGCAGCCCGTGGCCCGTGGGGAGGCCGGCGAGGGGCTCTCCTAGGGCCTCAGCTGACCCAAGACTTTCTGTGAAGCGGTCAGACCCCCAGATCCAGATTGCGCGGATATAATCGCACCCATTTACCAGACGAACAGACTGAGGCTCAGAGGGGAGGAAACCCGCCCAGTGTCACGTGCTGGGGGCTTGGAATT